TCATCCAATAACTTCTGGAGAAAATTTAACAAGCACTGAAATTTCCACTTCTGGTTTAAAGAACAACTGGACTGTCTCCAAATACACAAGAGTATTACTCAAAGCAGGTACCTGTGAAAAGACACAGTTTTCAAATTAAATTGAAATAAACCATACTAGACATATTCTAAGATTTTTAAAATAAATGTCATGTTTATGATAATGATACATTTAAATTTATCAATTGAAGAAAATGTCATCAAATGACTTGGGTAAGATTCTTCACAAATTCTTCTGGCTATCTTTGAAGAAAACAAGAGCTTCATATATCCTTGAAGTAAAGTAATAGAGTAGGGAAAAATGCATGTGGCAAATCGACAGACAGACAAGGCAATTCCTATCCATGTACTATAGTATACAGTTATGAAATGGGTATGAGGGAAATAGCAAATTTATGATTCCCCGAGGGAGGAAACTATTTCCCGGAGGAAATAGTTTTCTGCCGAGGGGAACAATAAATTTGTTATTTCCCGAGTTCCCATTCCATAACTTTTTTATTATTCCGAAACAATGATAGGCGATTTAAATTTTTTTAACCAGATATTCCAACATTTAAAAAAAAAACTGTAGAGGCATAATTACAAATGCATGCGGTTTAACACATTGCATGATAAGTGAAGCATCGTGTCCTTAAACAATTAAATTATTTTTTAAAAAGTATTTTCACTGACATTTCGAAAAATTATTGTTGTCTTCATTTTGGTAGAATTCAAGTATGATTTTGACATCGCACGTCGAAATGTTTTGACGTCATAGCTACATTGCTAATAACATGACGTCACAGACTCGAGATTCCTTGAATGCTCCACCCACTGAACACTTTGATTGGTTAAAATTACTAATAAATATTCATGATGGAGTAGTCCAAGGGAGCAACTGTGATTTTCCAGGGAGTAGTCTTCAGATGAGGGCAATAGTCACTTATCGGGGAAATAGAGTTTTATGGTGTTAATTTATACAGAGTAATGACAGTAGAGGTATAATAATATAACATATCTTTACCATTTCCTCAGCAGTGATAAGTAATTGGTAATGCTAATGCTGCATCTGCATTGTCTTTCCTCTTCTTATTTCTGGATTCTGTTCACAAAACTACATTGGAAACCCTATGTAGTAATTCTTTATAGCTCCACAGCTGAAAATCCCATTGTAAAGCCCAGCCCTAACCAGGGAAATGAATTTGAATAATCTGGAATTGCATGAGAAATATAAGAATGAAAGGAAATATTCTTTACAAAGTATAATTTCCCAGACTTATATTTATAATATTTAATTAGATATGTTTTAAACACAAACCTGTCAAGGAACACATGGTGACCTTTAATTTGAAAAGTACAAGTATTTGACAACTCTTTTTTCCTTTAATCATATATGAAAAGCCGAAAATCATAACTGTAGCCCGATCTTCATAACATTTCATAAATATCTGAAAAAAAATATTTTGTCTAATGAGATTCTTTATAATCATGCAGCCCACATATAAGGCAATAATGGTGATTTAATTGACAGTGAAGACCCACCTATCCAATTCTTAATGTACCCTATTAGTAAACAGTCTTTGAAAACCCTGGACCTATTCAACTTTTCATTCCCTCTTCATTACCCCACAAAGGCTACTAATGCTATTTATAATTATTTTGCAATATTGTTGAATTTATACAGATATTTTTATTGCTACATGTATAAGTACCAACCTTGAACATGTTGAAATTTCTCTTGACAGGTTTGCTAGGTATATATTCAGGTCCAGTACAATCACTAGATTCAGCTACGTAGGTATTTTTTATAGAAATAAATTACTTTGGTAGCTAAATAAAGCTACTTCAGGTAGGTAAATAAAGCTAACTAAGTAGGTAAATCAAGCTACGTATATAGCTATATCTAGTGATTGTACCAGACCTGATAGTGTCTTGTAAAAAATCTTCTCTTGTCCATAATCAAGTCCCCATCAAAATTGTTTATTTATTTATTTTTTTACCTATCAATAAGCCTTTTTATAAGGTACATAGTATTATAAACCAAGATCCACCTACCTGTTTCTTTTTCAAATTCAAACATTGTTGATTCGGTATCATCATCACTACATCCGTCTTGCTACCAAATGAATGTTTGCTGTCAGAATCATATTCATCAAAATCAGAGCCATAATCTGAAGACTCGTTGACAATTCCCGCACTTGAATCTTTTTCTGGGGACGTACAAAACGGTAACAAAACGTCTCAGGATGCCATAATGTTTACACGTGGTTACGGAACCGTACTTCGATCCCGATGGTTTTCATAATTTTTTATGCATTTTATACATAGGCCACTAGTATATACGTAACAAATTACATTCACAGGAGAGACAATTTTCTTCAAATCACACATAATTTATGCCTAAAACGATTAGATGACAGACATCTGTTTATAAACTTCGTAAACATAATCATTATCTACCTTCTCTACAGAAGAGCGCAACAGGGGAGATAATTTTAACAAAATCTAAATAAATAGTAAAATACGTTTTTTTCACAGGAAAAGCAGGGAAAAAATTATTTATAGCTTTTATAAAATTAAAAATAATTTTCATTGTTTATATTTGTAAATATTTTACACAAAATTCATTAAAATTACGGTTAAAAGTAAAACTTATAAAATCATGAATTTTTCCATCATTTGAATTTGAGGTAATTTCATTACGATATAACTTTTCTGTCCTTGAGAGTCCAAAGGTGGATTTTACATATTGTTTGGATAATATCCTAGAGATTCTTAAATGCACAAAATTCTGAAAAAAGAAGCGTCACTTTCTAAGAAATGCATCCCTGAATATTACCAAAAAATGAACCATTATCATTTCTTGGCACCATGCCAATATTTGTGCCCTCGTGACAGCCTTCTATATAGGGGTTTTACAAAAAAATGATCCCAACTTAATTTTACGACTTAGTTCTATGAGAAAACATAACCCTTTTATTTATATATTGTTTTTTTCTTTTTTACTTTTAAATATTGAAATTGTCATTTTTACACCAACTTTTTTGCATTTTCCCTTGAATATTGACCAAAATGAATTATTGGCTGTTACTAAAAATAGAAACAACCGATGCAAAAAAAAAAACAACATATTTTTGACTCTCAATGGGTGTCCTTTAAGTTAATAATAAAAATTAGTTTGTTCTTGAGAGTGCCTATCAGAGCATTTTTCTATACTGAAAGGAAAAAGAAACGCATCATAGCATAATATCGAAATATATTTAACTATATGGCCGAAAATTATAAAAATTTGTCAAATGTGTATTTTGATTACTGTGCACTAAAATTGCTGGTCAAAATTACTCAACCATGAAATTTATGGCGTCACGTAGGGGAAATGATAAAAAGCCAAAAACACGTGCATGTTGATGATGACAATTTCATGATCACATTTTGTGGTGCTAATCGATGCATTGGAGTTATAGACATCGTTTTCCGCATTTGAAATCAGTATAAATTTCGTGCAATCATATGGTATGGCTGACGGAAGTTACACTGGTTCCAGTAACTGAATGGCGTAAGTGAATGAAAAGGCAATAAGATGTTGCTGTGCAGTTTGTTTTAAACTTTTCAACAAAAAAAGGTTTTTCAGTTGTCATGGAGTAAATTAAAAGGTTGCCAACCAACGATGGCGGTGACGTTGACGCGTAACAACATCACATCAAGACAGGGCTTTTCATCATGTCACCTCGGTTGTTGTCAAGGTGTTATCACTGAAACCGATATTTATACAGCAAACTATCATACCAATATTTTCACCCTAAAATTGACAGAAATTCTCTGCTCTAATTTGGTCCGCGAGCTTGGCAACTTTTGCGTCGATTTTACTCTCACGCGCGCACGTACGCGTCGTGTGCGTAATGTTTTTAGCATGTTTACACTCGGAAAATGTAGCCAGTGTTTGTTGAGACTTTCTCACAAACATTCACGTGTACCAAACCAGCTGGATTCTGTAAATTCTATCCTAAAATGAAAATTCGTGGCACTCATTTGGCGGGGGGATTTGTTGGCTTTGGAATAATACAGCTTCTATCAACCATTAAAACTATTGTCGGAAGCATTGAATAATAATCAAATGAGAAAGATAAATGCTCTGGTGAACTCAATGCACAGGAGAATCAAGGCTGTTACCAATGTGCATGGAGATGATGAGAATTTTTATCTTAATTTTGGGGGTATCGACGTATCAATTTCAATAACTCAGGAATTATCAGTCGAAGTCACACCAGATTTTGGTAACTTGTAGATTAAAGATGAATTAAAATGTTTGATAACAATACTGGAAAACATTTTCGAAATAATAGTTTTAATTTAATTTAAAAGTAAAATATGCATTTCTTTTTCCTTTCAGTATATATATCTGCATGGTTTTCTCGTAGAAAGGCTCTTAATACAAAGTCTAAAAAGTATCATATTTGTGTGAAAATAAGTTTGCTGAAAACTTCATAACAAATAATTAAACAGATATTTCAGAACCAACATAACACATTTTACTGCAAAAACAGCTTTGGGTGCAACCAGCATGGAAAAATAGGGATCTTAAATTAATAGTACTGTATGTAGTTTAAAAGGGAAAAATTGATAATGCTCTTCTGAAAAAAAAAAATCTTCCGCCACAAAATATAGTTCAAGGCTTAATTCTATTTGAACAGAATTTGATCACAGTTTTCTTCTTTGAATATTGTTCAATTTGCATCGATGATTTAATGTTAGAACTTGAAAACAATGTAAAATTTAGAATTAAAAGTCAAAACCAAAAGTTACTCAAAGGCTTAGGATCGAAGGTCCTTCAGAAATTTATTGCCTATATCAAGTTTTGTTTTCGTAAAGGATTTTTTTTTTGCATTTATTGTTTAATTGAAGTTAAGATATGCCAAGAATCATGTGTGTAATATGTCTCTCCAGGTCCGTTTCAATTGTTCTAAATGTTTATTCATTCTTTAGAATGCAGTGGGAGATATTACGGTATAAACTGCACGAATCCTTGTGGGGATTGTCTCAACTTTGAACAATGTCACCATGTTAACGGTTCTTGTTTGAACGGATGTGATCTTGGATTCTACGGAGAAAAATGTGACCATGGTAAATATATCTTATACATAATTAACTTTATTTTCAGTCCGTTCAGCAAGTAACTATTTTCCCTATTAAAAACACCTGTTTTAAAAGAATACCCTGTTGCTTGTTACATCTTAATAGTGTCAATTTTGATTTCAAACATAGAATTCATTTATCACATTTAGCAATTTCTACCTAAAACCTGGTAATTAATTTTAAGCGAGAATTAATTTTAGCGATTTTTAAATGCTTACTAAAGAAGCTATTACAAATAATACGTAACAATAGTACAATTAAGATTAAAAAATGACATTTTTTGATAGCTTGCCCGTTAGGACTGTACGGTAGGAATTGTGAAAGGAGTTGTAGCGTACACTGTCTTGATTCAGACAGATGTGACAAGAAATCTGGTGCATGTCAGGGTGGTTGTAAAACAGGCTGGAAAGGGCTCAAATGTGAATCAGGTTTGCTTACCGGGTAGTTCAGCATGTGTCGTCTCTGTGCTTTATTCTTACTAATTCTCTCCTAATCAAAGCATTCGTATCCTTCTTTAGCTAACCTGATCGAAAATTAACCGTGTCTGTCGTGTCGTTGTCATCGTCTCCCTCATTGTTGTATACATTTCTCATTTTCTTCTTTCAAAGACATTATTATTAGTCCAATATCAACCAAACTTACCACAAGTATCCTCGGGTGAAGGGGATTCCTGTTTGATCAAATCGAAGGCCACGCCCTCTTCCAAGGGGATATATTATGAAATAATTAATGAATCTCTTAAAACTATTCAAAAGCCATTGGGCCAGGCAAGAATATAATCTCAAGGTAGTATAGATTCAGGTTTGTTCAAATGATGACCCCAGGAAGAAGGGTTGGGTCACAATAAACGATAAAACTTTACATAGGAATATATATGAAAATCGTATAAAAACCCTTCCCTTAAAAAAAAAATAGCCATTATTGGTGAAATTACGGCTGAAGCATCCTTAAGTTGTTTTAATTCCTTGGTTGACCCCTGTCGTAGGGCGGGGCTAAAGTGAGCAATCAAATTTTTAAATAGAAATATATCGAAAGAATAGAAAGACAAATCATTCTTCTCAAAAACACCAGAGATATGATTAATGCCCGGTAATTTTAATATGGGATCTTAGATAATGTTGATTGAAGATTGTTCAACTCAGAACCACTAGGGGTAGGTGGGGAAACAGTTTTGGAACAGCAAAACCATAGTTGGTGACTTTATATAGAACAATCAAAGCACACTAGGGTGGTTTAAATTCAGGTTTGTTCAAATCTCAAATCTCAATTGATGAAGAACAGCAAGGAGATACTTGTATGCTTATTGATATGCCGGTATCTTCAAAACTAATAATATTACCCCCACCACACCCCCACCCCACCCCGACCCAGTAAACTGTTCAAATCAACATCGATTTGTGTTTTTTTACCTACACCATGTGCTCAGGTGAGCAAAGTGGCCAATGGGCCTTTTTGTTGTATCTTTAAGTCACATTCCTAAATTATGGAAAGTTTGTTAAACTTTCAAAGGGCTTGAAAATAGAGAGGATGAAGCAATTCTTGTGGAATAAAATGAATTACAAAGCTCATGACTTTGTAGAGTGTGACTCCAATATGTTCGGGGAGGATTGTAGTAAGCAGTGTGGACATTGTCTGGATGGATCTCAGTGTCAACATATCAATGGATCTTGTCTCTCAGGTTGCGACCCTGGGTATATCGGTGATGATTGCAATGAAGGTACATCTTAAATTTCAGATTAATTGGTTTATATACTCTATGTTGTTTCAGGTCCCTCTCAGGAGCAGACTCTCTTACACTGCACTAATGTGCCACTCGGGCAACCCCTTTGAAGTAATACAGATGTACTTTTAAAATGATAATGTTTATATTTTTTTTACCCGATGTTTTACATGAGGGTTAAGTTGATATGGAAAATGTATACTATCGGTTTCGAGCTATTTAAATTTATATTTTTTGCGACAAAATTTTATTGACAAACATATCATAGCATCATATTTAATCTTCTATAAATGGGTTTCACCGTATGATAATTTATATCTTGAATGCTGTTAACCAATATGTACAGAGCCTAAATTCAAGTTCACAAAAACGAACTGAACTTAGAAATGAGTGTAAATAACATTTTTTTAGATCTTCCAAGACAAATAATTAAATAATAATAAAAAATACAAGTTCAACGTTTTTTTGTAGTCTGTCTAAATGGGACGTATGGAATTGGGTGTATCAAAACATGCAGCATGTTTTGTTTAGTGTCAGGTATTTGCGATCATGTGACCGGAGCCTGTAGCAATGGCTGTAAAAATGGATGGATGGGACTCGATTGCCTAGAAGGTATGAAAGTAAACCATGCTCCTTCCTTTTGTTATGTACTCGGATCGATAGACCTGGAGCGCATATTGCTTTCTTTCTGTCGGTCTATTTATTTGTCTGTTGTCGAAATTATTCTTAGCCACAACGTTTGAACCATGACATAAAGAGACTTTATATTTTATATGCTTACATCACTAATGATGCTCTTTTACTGCACTCCAAGGTCCATTACTTTCTGATCTTGACGCTGACCTAAATACGAATATTCGCCATGAGTTTTGAACCGTAGGGGATATAGACTTCATGTTTGATGTGCATACTCCACTAATTAAGTTCTTACAAATGGCACCAAGGTCAATGACTTTATCACCTTTTCTGTGACCTATTTGCTAAAAATAATTTTTTCGAACTTTGATTACGCCAGGAGGAGAGTTTTTCACAATGACATCTTTGTTTGACAATTGCCCAAAGCAAGAACTATCACGCTTTGACTAGTTTATCAAGATATGATAAAAAGGCTGCATTTAAGCCGAACTATATCTAAAATATATCAGGAGTCCAATCTAAGACAAAATCTTAAAAGAAAGGTTTGAGCTCTTTCAGTCCTGTCTCCATTTATGTTCTATAATCTTCTCGGTATTTTGAATAAACCGAGCACCTAATACTCTTTAGGGTGATTGAACATCAAAATTGATGCAATGATTGTAACATTTCTGTGAAATTCAGTAGAATAACATGTTATTTTACGATTTCAAGTTGGCAATAAAACAATATCCCTTTAAAAGGCATTCAATCAATCCAATAAAATAATTTTAAAACGTATTCCCAAAAACGTAGGGTACCTGTATTTGATATATATTCCGAAAAAATAACAGTACAATATTGCGAAAATAATATCTTTTATATTTATAAAGTCTATTTATATTCCCTATATAATCTATACAGGCGCAAACAGTTCAGAACACTGCATATTCATCGGATTTCAGGCCGAATTCACCGGAGGGTCAGTGCGCGTGCAGCGGCATTGTGACGTCAAAATCAACACCTCAAACAACATTGTAAACAATAGATGCAACGGCCGCAGCAAAGTATAAATCGGAGCAGGAAAAATATTATTCAAACTGATTGCACGATTATTTTAAAACATGTGGACGTCTTACACAGTAAAAATCGAAAGAAAAAGAAACGGTAGTGACAAACTGTAATCTGGACATTTTTTTTAACGATGGAAGTTCATTTATGAAAATGGTGTCGCCATTCAGCCTTCATTGTCTTATTTATTCAAATATGGACTATCTAAGAAAACAATTATGGACTCTTTTGGTGTTGAATATGGCTTGCTATTCACGAGAAAAATATCCATATTGACCTTTGCTCCGTGTGGTCAATACGAATATTTTTCTGGTTAATAACAAACCATATTCAACACCAAAAGAGTCCATAATTGTATAATATTAATTATTAATATAATTTGAAAGAGGACTCAGAATTTATTAAGGTTATTAAAAAAATCAAATGTATACACGTATTATCTATTATAAAAAGTTTTCAAATATTTAATTAAAGATCATGTTTTTTTGTGATGAGGTATTCACTTTGTACAATGTAATATAAGCACACACTGTGAAAAAAGGACACACCGAAAATTTAAAGTCCATTTGCTTGTTCATTTGAACAGAATATGTGGAATAAACCTAACATTGCATAATTTTAGTATTTTGTATTCACAGTAAAGGGTTGCGATGGAAATAATATTGCTCTCTACATTGTTATTGGAATCCTGTGTGTCTGCTTACTAGTTAACGTATTACTTCTGATCTACTTCATCTACTTCAGGTACATGACGTTCTGAAAAAAAATATGGATCTTTACTTTTTACTTCTACCAAATGTTCATTAATGATAATTTTACCATTATCTGAATATGTTTTCAAAGATATATGTCCATTTCCTTTTCTTTTCTTTTTAGGGGCAATAGTAAGCAAATGGTAAGAATTAGTAAGTATAAAGAAGGCGAAGACAATAGTACGGATGTAGAGGATGTTGTGCATGCTTCTATACCTGATAGTTCTAGACCTGAGAATTATGAAAACAGTCCAAAAGTAGAAGATGCTATGTATGGTTCTGTACATTATAGTTCTAGCGCTGAGAATTATGAAACAATGCTTGAAATTAGCCAATAAATTCGTAAGATTTGAAACACATCTAAAATCTCCTGTTAACCGGCACTTGGATATATTCCAATAATATTTGAATTATTGATTGATTAAAAGTATGGTGTTTTCTGTCCCATTTGAGAATTTTTCGGTAATAGTGTCGTCATCATATGGAGAGGATAAGGATTTTTAGTGAAAAGTAGGGTTTTATATTTCTGAAACTGTATACTTGTATTACGCAAGTTTATTACTTTTTTAATTACAAATAGATGCAAAGTATCTTTTAGAGTATACGACGCTTTTTTTCAGAAGTAAATTGGTAAATATAATGTTATTGTCAAATATACAAATTGTTTTAAAATGAGCATCAAAATTATCAAAATATCCGCCAACAATTATATAAAGAAGTTTTGCTTTGAAGTTATGAACTATAGGAAACCTGATAAGAAAGTCAGCGCAAATCTTTGAAATCTGAATTATTTCATATTTTGAAAATTATGTTTTAAAATAAATGTAACCTTTACTTTGTTACTGATATTGTAAGAGATATAAGTTTGTGGCAATAATGAAAAAAGAAAAATCCGAATTTCCTCGCATCACCATATATTAGTTTTGTTTATGGATATTATTTTCAGGGAATAAAATACATCTGTAAAATTTTTTTAATATGAATATTGAGTTTAAACTAAAAAAAAAAGAGTACATTTAGTACAATGTTTGATCTAACATATAGTGTTTTTTGAAAATTCATTTCAGTTTTCTAAAACCTGAGTAAACCTCATCCATAGGTGAAAGAATAATTAAAGTTATCACAAATAAGAGATTGCATATACAGTACCAATCAGATCCAACCTGACACCCATGTATTCCCAGAAAGCAGTCCCAGGGGCTGTGGGACCGCCCTGTGACTCTTTTGTTCACTCATATGAGACATAGGCTCTGAGTAACATGATAGCTCTGCCCATTGTGTCTTCTAAATTTTCATGCTCACTGTTCTTGTTTTGTTTAATCGCATCAGGGAGGAATTTTAACTATTAAAAAACAAGGATTTCTTACGATTTTAAGATACGTAGAGACTATCATAGTTATTTATTATTTACAGGGACTCTTAATTTACACTAAGGTGGTTAAGAATAAATCTAAAAAATAAAGAAGCTAGAAAATGAAGTCAGTAGAAGATTTTCATTCTTAAGATTAAATTAGTAGTTTCTATAAAAACATATCTAGGCCTATTTGATATTTTAATGTTGTAAAATTATGTATTCAAAGGTTGCCTTGGTGTTATTTCAAAAAAAATAATCACTACAGTTAGATTTAAGATTATTAAAAAAAAAACTATCTTAAAAACCTACATGTTATACAGGTACCATGGTAGATAAAGAAGGGTTTCGTGTAATCTTCAAATAAAGCCGAACAATTTATTAAATGACCAAGAAATAAAATTACGAAGGTACATTAAGAATTCTCAAAGAATATTGTAGGTACTCTGTGCATGTGTGACGTCATGTGACGTCATAATTGAAAATAATATCAAGTTGCTGCAAACTTGAGGTGAAATGATGAGGAAAGTGTCATAAACTTTATATTTTATTTTAATTTTCGTATAAAAAGTCACAACGCTAGAGCAAAAATGAACGTGTATTAATCCTGTTTTTTTTTTTTTATCTAAAATATTCGGATGATTTATATAACTTTATCTTTATTACTCTTGTTTCAAAGTCAGCGTGTTCAAATTATTTAAAGCCATATATGGCGTATGTACAATGAAAATTATTAGATTAAAATTATAAGCACTTATTATTTGTATCATTACTTTATATAAAGATAGAACTTTTCCGTAAATTACAAAATCTAAGTCAATTGCGTTATAAAGATATCACAATTTAATTTGGATTCTCGGAATTTTCTCCGACTCGGAAGAAAATACAAAAGATTTAAATAACATATTACAGAGAAGATAAAAGGGTATTGTTAGATGAAACAAGGTGTTCTCCGTGTTCAGAATTGTATGAAAAGTGTTACATTAAAGTTTTAGAATTCAGAGAATTTAAAACTAACTATAACAATGAGGTTGTTATAGTTAGTTTTAAATTCTCTGAATTCTAAAACTTTAATGTAACAGGTTATATTATATGAATTTTAATTCATTGCGATTCGACATTTTGAAAGTGTTTAAATTTTTATGAAAATAATTCCTTTTTCTTAATTTTAAATTCCTTAAATTTTATTTAGTTTTCTTCAAAATATTTAAACTTTTATTTCTTTTTCACATAAAAATATACTCTTTCGGATATCAGTAAAATGTGGAATTTGAGCAATCTGTCACCTTTCGGAAGTCAATTTACTCACGACAGATTGTGAATCAATTATTTTATCTACTAAATAAACTGCTAAATTCTTTTTTATTTCGGCCTTTTTGTACGTAAATTATTTGCGAGATTGGCTTGACACATAGCTATGACACAGGTATTAAATTATTTGTACGATTTAGAATCTTATTTATTTTGTTTCGGCTTCACCTAATCTTCCTATTGTTAAAAACTCAGAACGGAAATTTAGCTAATTGATTTCATCACCTTTCGGCTCTTTGATAATGTAAGTAATCAGTGTCAAGCCTATCAAAGGAAATTGCCGCTTTACCTGTAATAATTTTTGTAACAAGCATCCTGATTGGTCGAGAGTTCAATTCCGAAGTAGAGTCCGGATAGATTGTGAATTTAGCAAATTCACTTTCTATCTTGTGACTCTACAATAAACATCATTCAACTTTAATCGGAATTGTTTCTCTTTGCCAATTTAGGTAAGCTTGTGTTTTTAATTTTTATTCAAATGTTAAGTTAAAGTTTAATTTTGATTTTCAATATAATTATTTTAATTAATTAATGTTTTATGATTTTTCTCTAAATATTTTTGATGTGGAATTAGGATAAACTACTTAGTTCATTTGATTTTTACTGAACTTTGAAATATCTGATATACTTACAAATAATCAAACACAATAAATTGTTTCTTTCATTTAAATGTTAGTTAATGTTTAAAATTATATAACAACATTAAGAGCAATCATTTCTTTGTCGAATTATTTACGAAATAGTGTTTTTGGAATTTTTCTATCTTGTGTAAATTTTTGGCAATTTAATTTTACCGCTCATGAGTTATTTTCCCTGTTCGGAACTTCTAGTCAGAGAAGGTATTTAAATTTTCCCGAACTTTTGTAAACAATGTCTATGGAGTTTAACGTTTGTAAGTTTTCTGATTTTATTGTCAACTTTTGATATTTAACTTTTGTAACTGTAAGAACTAAGTTAAGCGCTACGCATGAATGATTTCACGTAAACGATCGATCTTTAGTTTCTGTTTTGTAGTCAAACTTTGTAATAGCGGTTTTCGCTACAGGTCGTTTCAAAAGTTATTTAACTATTTCACATTATTAATTTCGATAATTACTTAAGTTGTTTATTATGATTTTTTGTTTAACAACTTTTATAAAATACACTTTCTATCTTGTGACTCTACAATAAACATCATTCAACTTTAATCAGAATTGTTTCTCTTTGCCAATTTAGCATTACAGTAGAAAAAGCGAGTAGCTATCCTACCAAGCTAATTTCCCCAAACTTCACAGACGAAAAGTCCATTGTGAAAAAAGCTTTGATTTAAATGTATTAACTATATTTCTTTACTTAATTTTGTATTTTTCAAAAATGTTTTTTTTTTTGATCAGTTACGCCGTATATGGCTTTAAGAAAATATACGTTTGACAAATCACCTGTATGAAAAAAAAAAAAAAAAAAAAAAAAAATAAACTGGTGCAGGTGATTAATGAGGATTTATTTGAGATTTCCTTTGGAAATCTGTAGGAGGATTTACTTGTACCCCTCTTTCTGAATCTTGTTAGGGGGATCTGTATAATGGCTTTGTTTTTAAACACATGACGAGTGATAAATGCCCTTAGATTTGCTTGTAAGTTAAAGTGAATGTGAAATATTATGAACCAGACTAATGGGATTATTTTCCGAATCACATATTGGGTTACCAAGGATGCAGCAAATTGATTTTCGCGTCAAACTTTAATAATAATTGTGTTAATTGTGCCAAAGCGATTTTATGTAAAACACCTTATAAAAATAGAAATAGCCGTCACATGATCGACGAGTTCATGTAATAGTGAGCCAAATATGTGTACATTTAAAAATATCGGGAATTGTGATTTAATTTGTTTGCTTACGTTTACCTTGCCGATTTCTGTGTTTAAAATGGTGTCAACACCCCGGTGCGGATTCAATCACCTTTAGGCATGGTTAGCAGAAAGCACCCAGTATCACATTTAGCATTTTTTTTGTTACACCTATAAAATGTAGGAGTACACGTCTTCATACATGTAAACTTATGTCCAAAGGTTCCGTTTCTGCGGGCTGATGGGCAAAGCAATATAAATTACATATAGTAATAAAATCTTACTTTCAAGAGCATATGAAGCACATTTTATATCTTTAGAAAGGGATAAAGTTCAATGATCTTTTACGTTTGTCGCAAAGTGTTCCTTCAAAGCTTGACATTGTTCCGAGTCTTAACAGTTCCCACAAATCATGATGCAGTTATTTCTTCACATTCTGAGAACAAAACAATAAAATGGAAAATCTTCAAGAAGAAATAAAAAAAAACTCTGATTCCGTGGCTATATTTCTTTACTATGATCGGTATTTATTTTCTATCGCATACATGTAGTGGCGTACGTACGTGTATATTCTTTTTTATGAAACTGAACATCTCTAAACAATCCTTTTAAAGAAAAATAGGGGATAATATAAAAAAAATTGTCGCTCTACAAAAATTTGCATAATATCCTTAAGTTTTTTTTTTTTCATTTGCATTTTTTAAGAGCAAAAATCAGATTAAGGTTCAATTATCACACACATTGTGAGCCCTATGCATTAAACAGAGAGACAAAAACTTCCTAGCCAAATACAGTATGGAAAGCGATTTCTCGTCTCGAGTATGGCCCTCATCATTTCGGTAATCGAGAA